GTCCACAGTCCAGCAAAGGAGATACTAAAATAATTTGAACAAAGTGTGATGAGGGTTATGATAGGGAAAGTTCAAGGCCACTTCACAAGAAGACATTCCAACCTCCAATTTAGGCAAGATTGTGAACCTCAACAAAAGCGTATGAGAAAGCCACTGGTAGTCCTTTAAAGCAGGATGATATGACCTTTGTGATTTGGAAGGATCTATCTGGCTACCCTGTGTAAAGGACTGAGGAATGGAGGCAAGGAGACCAATTAGGAGACTGTGCGACATGTCATAAATAGGAGATGATGGCCATCTTGGCAGGGAAGTGACAATAGGGTTGGAAAAAATACAAGAGGATCAGAAAGAGAATCATAATAGGACATTTTAACACACGTTAGTTGCATTGCATAGCCCCTTTGCTACTTAACAAAAAAAGCGATACCCCCAAGGGTTCTGAAAGGCTTCTGGTCACACCTGATGCCAGCTTCAGGGGCGCTTCTTCATAGAAGGTTTAAGCAGAAGGCTGAAGATAAAGCAGTCCCTTATCATTTAAAGAGCACCATTTCTTTTGAGAAGCTTAGCCCTTCTCTGGTGAATTTAGAGGTGAATTTACACCCTAAATTAACATTATTTTGGCTCTAGCAAATGCCTGATGTGAATCCTTCCAGAAGGGATTGTTAATGTCATTTGGGTTCTCTGAATTATTGATGATTTTCAGTTTGTGAAATTAATGAGCTTCATAGTGGGTAAAGATGGGCATGTTGCTTTAAGAAAGGGAGTCACCCCAGAAGGGGACTCCTCATACTAGCTAATGAGGGTGTGATTATCCCAGAAGCAAATTGCTGGACAAGAACAAACCTCAATCAACCCACAGATGCTCAAACTCCATCTGGAACCCCCAAACTGACAAGACTGTGCAGACCCTCAGGGTAATTTGGTCCATCTGAAGAAGCGGTGGATAGTGTTCCCATGGTTTCCCTTGTGACAGAGCTTACTGAGAACTCCTCCTCAGGCAGGCAGAGCAAGCAACACATACCTACACTAGATGCTATGGGGTAGGAGGAGCTCATGCGAGAAGGATTCCCAAGTGGATTTCATGGAATGGAATATCCACATTACTGTAAATGGATAGGAGAGGAGGGGACAGAGTTTGAGGTCATGTTGGAAAATGTCCTGATAATCAAGCCTTGTTTTCCAGACATATTTGGCCACAAAAGCCTGTTTTTGAGGACATCATAAACTCACTTTGAGAAGTATTATTTGATGATAAGACCCATTTTAAATCCTTCCTGGAACAATGTAGAGTCTAGAAAAATAGAATATAAGTTTGTGTAAGAGAACAGAGGATAGACCTCCTCTCTGTATAACCCAAATTTGATACACTCCTGGCATCCAATATGTGCTGAGTAAAGTGCATTGAAATTAAGAACAAAATAATCTAATTTGAAGTTTTTTTGACCTGTGTGGTGTCTACTGTACAGGAAGTACCAACAGCTCATCTCATCCAAACCTTCATTAAAATGAGGAGGAAATTGAGGCCAAAAAGTAAAAGTAACTTCCCCAGAATTTCACTAGGGATAGTCCAGTAGGAAACACCAGAACCTAAGTCTCTTGTGTCATTCATTGATTCATTTCAACAAACATTTTCAGTACCTATGATGTGCAAGGCACTGGGTTAAGTCCAACATTATCTTTATGGAGTTTACATTCTAATCAGGGAGTGGGACATCAAAGTAATAGCAAAATTAGTAATTTAAGTACACGTGGGGAATACTGCTGACAAGCAGAAGGACATGGGGCTAGGAGAGCATGAAGTGGTGGACTGGACTGGTACTCAAGGCCCTGACCATGTCTCTCTGCCTCCCACTGAGCTGCTTGGTGACCTCTGTGAGTAAATCACTAGGTTTGTATTTATGAGGACCATTGCTTTTACACAAAAATTGAAACAAGTTGGACTGACAAAGAGTTACTTTCTGGCTTGTGAATGTCTTAATGAAGTTATACAAAGTTAGAACAGTAATAATAACAGCAGTTATTTATTAAATACCTACTTTTGTATCCACTGTGCAAATTAATCAGCATACATTATCTTATTAACTTCTCAACAACTCTTTGAATTAGGGGTGACCTCCTGAGAAAACTGAGGCTTAGAGATTTAAGTGATTGGCCAGCAATGACACAGGTATTAAGTAAAATGGAGGTGCTAAGATTTGAGCTGAGACCTGTGCAGTTCCAAAATCTACGCTCTATTACACATGATTTTGTTAAAAATTTAAGATTAAATGGTATAAAGTTGGAACTGCCTTAGAAAATCAGGATCTGAAAAATAGAACAAAAAGTTCTATGATTGGTCAATGTTATTTTTATATCTAAAGTGTCTAGCACAGTGGTGACCCCTGGCAGATCCTCAGTATATAGCAGTCATTATCTCACTGCCCTGAAGCATCTAAACCAGGGCTTGGCAAACTATAGTCCACAGATCAACTCTGGCCCATTACTTGTTTTTGTAAATAGAGTTTTATTGGGACATAGCCATGTCCATTCATTTATATATCGTGTGTGGCTGTTTTCAAGCTACAGTAGCTGTGTTGGGCAACTGCAATAGAGCCCATATGGCTCACCAGCCTAAAATATTTATTATATGGCCTTTATAGAGAAAGTTTACTGACTCTGATGTGGTTAACTACCTTAGTTTTCTGTTTTGCCTTTTTGTGAGTTCTGTCTGAGATTATAGGTATGATTTGTATTCCTTTACTCAAACTAGATGGAATGAAAAGGTACACAGAAGATTCGGATAATGTGTTGGAGCTATATATCACATCGTGCACCAGGCTTACTTGCATGATCTTATTTAATCCTCCCAACAATCCTATTTTATAAGGAGAATGAGATACAAAGAAATGGAAGCAGGTGACTGGGTCATGCAACCTCTGTGTGGCAGAGCCAGCCTTTGATGTGGCTCCCCAGCTTGTGCTCTTACACAGGAGATGTTCTCTGCACTTTACAAGAGGCTTCATCTTGGAGCAAGAGAAAACAATTTACTACCAGTCTTAGCAGTTGGACCCTGCTTTCCAGACTCATTTTAAGTACAAATGAGGCTTGTTTAAAAGAAAGTTGGATTTATTGGAACTAAGTGGGGAAAGCAGGAGTCTGTAAATGCTGAGATGAGAAAGGATAGCCCATGTTAGCTACCAAGTCAGAATGCCTGGGAAGTCCCCTGCATGGCTCTGCTCCTGCCACCAGCTATTACAACTGCTTCTCCATCACTTTTGGGGTGGCCGTGCTGGTGGATTCCCACCTTTTCCAACAGGCTTCTGATGTGCAAAGATCACATAGTCTCCATTTGCCTCTAAACTGCAGGAGGAACCCTGGTAGACTTAGAGCACACTCTGTAAGTGTTGACTCCTTTCAGTGGAAAACAAGGTGGCCAGATTGATTGATTGATTGGTTGGTTGCTGAACATTTCACATCTAAATGAACATGCTCTTTTACTGTGTAATAACAGTAAATAATCCTTGAACACTAAAGTTTCAGATTCTAATTGATGGGCTATTAGTGAGTGCCTGTCTTGGATGGCTATATTCACATTTGTCCCATTTAAGAATAATGTGTCAGTTTTCAGTTTGGCTTTGGGTTTAGCCATACTTGTAACAGTCAGCTGCTCATAAGAATAAAACAAATTAAGGACTATGCCTGCCAGTGCTTTCACATCCATGCCTTTCCCCGAGACTGAGCAGGGACAGAGAAAAACAGTGGAGGGCATGCCAGCAAAAAGTGTGCTTTCAGACCCCCCTAAGAAAGGGTTTGGCAGATTTGTTAAAAAGAGAACTCAAATGAAAACCCAGGGGAAAGGAGAAGCTAGGTGAGCTGTGGTAATTTAACAGATTCTCAGACATAGATTTCCAAGCCACAAACTCAGCAAGAGGGGATTAAAAATGTGGTCATCTAAAACCTGTAAATCTACTTGAATAGTAATAAAAAGTCCCCACCTTATGAAGGGTCAAAGTAGAACCAAAGCAGAGTTTATATATTGCCTGACCCTTCATGATTAAATCACCCGCAGCCCTCTCAGACAGAGGGCCACTCCCGTGTTGGGTTCCCCCATATTTTATACATTTCCCTTAGGGCACTTAGCAGCGAACTATTTTGCTTATACAAATCTGTCTCCTTTGATAGGCTACATGCTCCTCAAGAATAAAAGCTAGGTCTGATTCATCTCTGGACTTCCAGCACTAGCCCCAAGAAGGTGCTTAATAAATGACAGACAGGCAAACAGATGTACACATGAATGAAATTAGGGAAAGGCAGCCTGCCCGTGCCTGCATTTGTGATCACAGACAGCCTAGCCCGTCTCTCAGGGTGGCCAGCAGACCTTCCTTGTGTGCAGAAACCTCTTCTTAGCAGCCGTTGATAAGATGGGAAGAAAACCACCCAAGCCCTCTTTCTCAAAGCAAAGACAGTTTAGGAGAAAATAGGACAAAATAAATGAAAAGCCTAAGGTACAATACAATTGACCTAGTAACAAGAGCTGGGAAAATCACAGCCCTTTAGAAAAAGACCTAGAAGTGCTGAGGGGACATAGGGAGTAAACAGAGAGATGGCTCCTTTGTTCCAAATAGATGGCAGAGACCAGAGAAACACGCCAGAACAAACCAAGAACAAGGACCAGACACAGAGATCCAATGGTCAGATTCTGACAGGTCTCCACCCACTGAGTCCTGTTCTAGAATCCCAATCACTTTTGAAAGAGGAGGTTTTAGGTGCAGAAGGTGTGAGTTTCAGACCTGTCCCCACCATTGCCTGGCTGTGACCTCAGTGTGTCCTTTCACCTCTGAGTCTCAGTTGCCTTCTTGGTAAAGTGGCAGCTGCTAATGTGATCAGTCTCCCTGAATGCTGAGGGCATCAATGTGCTGATGGATGTGAAAGCATTTTGTAAGTTACAGGTGGAGCGTGAGTGTGTGTGACTGCTATTGCTGGGACAATCAGACCTTGACTCTGCATGTTTTGCCTTGCAGAGGGTTGTCCTGGCCTGTGCAATGGTAATGGCAGATGCACCTTGGATCTGAATGGATGGCACTGCGTCTGCCAGCTGGGCTGGAGAGGAGCTGGCTGTGACACATCCATGGAAACCGCCTGTGGTGACAGCAAAGACAACGATGGAGGTAGGGTTCTGGCACCCAGGGACCCCATGCAGCTCTAGGGGGTGGGAGGCACCGGGGTGGGGGTGGGCATGCTGAGTTAATGAGCACCAACACACCAGCTGTCCAGTCAGAGAGGCCTGCAGGGCAGGCATAACGCTGCACATGTGGTCTAAGGAATGAGTACATTTCACTATTCCATTTGAATTATTTTAAATTAGCTAATGTAAATGAAATTAATTGCCACCCCACAGTAAGTGCTGAGGAGAAGGCATATGGAAGAGTTTTCTAACAATTCAACAGTGGAATGAGTTGCCTGGCAAAGTCATGAGCTTGCTCTCACTGGAGGTAGGTGGGAAGAATCCATCCAGAAAGTGGCAGAATGGATATTTCCAGGGTAGGGAGGTCGAGTTACCTTTGGTTAAGGCCTTATTTCCTTTGATTCTGGTATTAACCCTCCCCAAGCACACCCTTGCTTTCACACCTGCTGCCTCTATAGCTTTGTGATGGAATTTATCTGTGCTGTTGGATTTTTTTCAAGAGCTAGACAGTCAAAACCCCAAAACAGAAGCTTATTCTTGTGGGACATTTAAGAGATGAGAGTGAAGAAACCCAGGATCTAATCCTACTTCTGCATCCCTTACTGACTAGTCTCTGGGCCTCCTGCTCCCTGTTTATAAAGTGAAGCGATTGCATGATGTAGAACATTCTAGTTCTGGTGTGTGTCCTAGAGTTAGCCTTCAGCTTTCAGTAGTGGAAACATGAGTGTAAATACAACCATCGTGTAGTGGGCTCTCCCACTTAGAAGATCAGTTGTTTCTTTCTGATTTAACCAGTGATTGAGTTCAACCATTCAACTCTTGGGAAAGTAAAAAGATAGGTACATGGAAAAGGAAAATGGAAGCAGTAAACCCTTCCTTTCTAATGATGGCCTAACAGTTGGCTAGTCCAAATGTGTTTATGCAGGTCTGTCATATTTCTACCAAGGGACTTTCTCATATTCTACACAGAGTAGGAAACCAACAGGCCAGACATTTAGCACCCCAACCTTTGGGAATTTTCTACTTAGTGTGATTCTAAAATATCAAAGCACTGTAAGGATTGAAAGGCCAAGTATATGCTATTGTGATTATTCTGGCTCATTGCCTTGAATTGCCTCCAGCAACCTAGAAAGGGCTGTTTCAGACTGCCGGTCTCTATCTAAGCCAGCTTTCGGTCCTCTACGGCTGCCTGCATCTCAGGGGTGGTCAGGCCTGATGCACCCCGCCTGAGCCCAGCAGAGCAGTTGTCAACAAGCAGTGCATGGACCTTGGGAGTTAGGCGGAGACAGTAGTCTCCTGAGACCTTCCAGGATTGAAAGAGCCCTTGATCAGTCTGAGACTTGTGGAGTTCATTAATACTCCTACTCATAAATATCCAGAGTTGTAGTTTGGGGCCAGGCATAGAGATGAATGAGTCTTGCCCTACTCTCCAAATGAGAAAGAGCAAAGTTAAGTGCTAATGGGCTGTGATAAGTGCTATTGCAGAGGTGTATGGTGGTTGTGGCAGTAGGAAGATATTCATCAAGAAGGTGATACTTGAGTAAGTTTCTGTGTGTCCTAGAAAGGACAGGACTCCACTTTCAGAGAGATAATCATGGGCAAAGGCAGAGCAGGGCAGGCACACGTATCCCTTCAGGCAAGATAATATGCAATGATATTTGCTCTTCACAGGAAAGAGATGTCAATCTAAATTACCTGCATAATTTCCTCAACATTCCCCTTCACTTGCCTGTGTAGGCACAATTCCAATAACTAACAATAACATTCAGGTGATTAGACGAGGAGAGAAGAGCCGCGCCATGAAGTCATTCCCTCCTCAAGAATCCAAGGTCTTAGCCAAAGTCTCTAAGCAGCTGTTGAACATCTGGGCAACAAAAGAACTGAGTGCCCCTGAGAAATGTGGGGAGAGGGCACACCTCCCCCCCCCAACATACAGGAATGGTTATAAAGCGAGGTTCATTTATTTCCTCTCGTGAAACACAATACCAGTCTATCCTGTTTACGGTCCTTCAAAGCCAGCCCGCCCAGTGCTAGAATCACTGGTGTTTACATGGGCATGGGCACACGGGAGTCCAAAGCCCCACCATTTTGGCAAGAGAAAGAGTTTTTTGTTATAGGAAATGGAGCTGATATAGACCCCAGGGGAACGGCGCCCCTCCAGCTGCTCTGAGATATGAGCCAGCAGGAACTGGAAAAGAACAATCAGAAAACCCTCAGTTGTAGGGGAATATGCCAGTTGAATTTATGGATTTGCATTATGAACTGAAAGGTGCTTTTATATGTCCTGTGTGTGCACGTGCATATGTGTGTGTATGTGTATGTAATGCCCTTGTCTGCTTTCAGAAGGAGTTAGTGTTGGCCTTGTAAAATATGTTTGGGAGCATTCTGTCCTCTGATTGTTGGGGAAGTTTGAGAAAGATAGGTACTAGGCCTTCTTTGAAAGTTTGGTAAAATTTACTAAGGAAACCATCTGGTCCTGGGCTTTTGTTTGGGGGAAACTTGTGGTTACTGTTTTATTTCTTTCCTCGAGATTGATCACTTCAATAGCAAAACCATACAATGGTACCATATCCTGAGTTTTTCCATTCATTTGACAAGCAATAACTGAATGTCCATTCTGCATCTGGGCCTGTCCTGGGTCCTGGGGATTTAGAAGCAAATAAAACACAATTCCCACCCTTATGAACTTCACACTCAGGAAGGAGAAAAAAGCAGCAGGTGATTACAACACAGCGGGGTCATCACTGTGATGGAGCATCCACACACTCAGCTGATCTTATCAGATGCATGTATATCTCTTGGGGACTAGGTCCCTGTCCTTTGAGGCATCCACTTTAGCCAGGAAGACATCCCGTGGGTAATCCGAGTTGAGGAGACACTCGCTGGGGTGACTAGTGTCAGAGAGAGCTTGGTCATGGATTCTCAACTGTGAAATGAGGGAACACCTCCCCTATAGCCCACTCAGTTTGGGTGGATTTCCACCCATTGGGAGAGCCAAGGGGCAGGTACAGAGGGTCCCTGCTCTGCAGGTTGGCAGATGACACAGGCTGCCCTGGGGGCCAGAGGGGACAAAGTGATCCTCACTGGCCTCTCTGTCACTCTGGGTCTCAGTCACTTTTCATGGAGAGAGAACTAGGACAGGCTGTACCAGGCAGTGCAGGAGTGAGCTGCGTTTAGCAGGCTGTTTGTGGTCCAGACAAACACATGTGTGGGCTTCTGCCATCAGCACAACCCCTGCTCCTTTCCCAGGGCCTGTGAAGGCCAATGAGTGTGGACTAGTCTCTCTCCCTCAGGATGCTCCCAGTTATTTGCATGAAATCATTATCCAAACAACCAAATCTAATAGGAGCAGAATGAAATAATTTCCTTTATTTCAGCCATGGCATGGGGTGCAGCAAATTCCCAGATTAATCCATTGGGTGGAGGGAAATAGTGTGAGAGTATTACTGAATGAGTGTTCTGGGTTGATACAATTTAGGGACTTGGAGGAGGAATTAGCAGAGTTTAATATCGAGTAACAGCAATGGTAGAAATAGAGAGCATGGACTTTAGCTCCCTCCTTCCACCCCCCTGCATGTTACAGGCAGGGAAACTGGAGCGTCAGTCATACAGAAAGCAGCCATGCATTCACCCAGCGGAAGGTGTGTGGTATTATCATCCATTTATTATTTCCCTGTAATGAGGAAACTGAGGCTTAGCAAGCAGAAGTTTTCTGCCGGGTCACACAGCTGCAGAGTGGCAGAAACCACCCAGGCTCCAAAGGCCAGCCATGTTCAAGCTATTCTCGTGCCCAGACCTTGGACGCACAGCTCCATTGTAAACCCAGCTGTGGCTCTCCAAGTTAGCTATGAACTCCCAATTTCTCTTCTTTCCCAATTTGCTAGGCTTAAAGCAGTCCTTTCCAAATTAAACTTGAATTTCAAGCTTCGTTAAGAATACTGTTGCAGGGCCTCCCCGGTGGCGCAGCGGTTGAGCACTGGGTTGCGAAGCTGCTCGCACCTCTGCAGCGCCGGTTCGATCCCCGGCCACTGGAGGAGGGTCCCACATGGCGCGCAGACCTCTCCTGCCGCCCGCTGCTCCCCTCAGCAGTGTACTTCGGTCCTTCTGCCTGCTCTGCTCCCCACTCTGGCTCTGGTGAATTCTCTCACCCTCCTGCGCTTCTGACTGTACCCAGTCCTTGTATAGATAAATAAATAAAAAATAATAAAATCTTAAAAAAAAAAAAAAAAAAAAAAAGAATACTGTTGCAGTGTTTTCAAACAGTGGGACACAAAAAGAAAAACTACACAATATGGCTGCATTGGCTTTAGCTTTATTGATTTGTTTGTGTTTTCATTTGTGGTTGTTGTCTAGATTGAAAAATAGGAAACAGATCCTGAACGTGACCCCCTGTCTCCTGATCTCCAACCAGGGCTGCCCAGTCAGCCCAGCCTGCCTCTACACTCCACCCAGGGCACTATGGGTGAGGGGACCAGGGGGAAGAGGGGGGTTACAGTGACTCTGACTCCCCACTGGGTGTGAGTTCCTCTGTGTGCCCCACTTGACAAAGAAGCTGTACCCTACTTATACAGTACCCTTGATGACGCCCTTTATGAGGCCCCACATCTTCTGTTGTGTTACACATTGGCCCTCTGATGGGGATGTTCTTGTCATCTCTGTTTCAGAAGTGCTGAAGCTGTGACCCAAAGGTGCTAAGTGACTATAAAATAAGGATAACAATGCCTACCTTGCAGGGTTGTGGTGAGAACTACCTGTGATGTATTTAAAGCACAACATAGCACAGTGATTAAAAGGGCAGGTTCTGTACCTAGACTGTCTGGACTCAAATCCTGGCTCTTGCATTTTGGGCTCTATGACCTCAAGTGAGTTACTTAACTTCCTGAGCCTTAGTTCATCATCTGCAGATATTGGTTCTTTCTCACCCTTTCCACTGTAATCATAGAAACATGTTGCTTATTATAAAATAATATATTCTTATTTATA